CTTCCTAATGCAAAAAGTGCAAGTGCTTTCCTCAATCCTTCGTGGAAAATGGGGATTTGGTCCATAAATTTTTACTTATATACATGGCCAAAAGCTATTAAGTGGGTTATTAAGAATCACTAAAATGTTGCCTCTTTCTGAAACCCTGGTTTAGTACATAATCATGAAGTCTGGCTGCCGCACAACATGTGCAACACAAAGAGGAAGAGTTCCTACAACCTGTTCAGAACGACAGTTTCTTTCTAGTGCTTCATCGGTCCCTGGACTTTCAGTTGATGCCCTTTGTGCTCATTAACATAATTGTAAACTTAAGGGTTTACCTTTGTTAATCATTTTTCTTTGATATTTATTTTGTTCCTCTCTAATTGTTTGTTATCACTGAGTTCTTTTATTGCTGGAAAAAGAGAAGAGATGGTATGGGCTGGTTGTGGGATCTTGTTTTGCTCTGCTCTGGAAGTTTAAGAATATTGCCCTAGAGTAACTGTTTGCTCTCACTAGACTCATCTATTAATGGTGTTCTGGGCATTCCATATGTCCAGAGGTTAATTCTGAGCCTCTGTTAAACTATTCCATTTTCACCACCTCCTTCAAATTGCCCCTGACCCAAAATCATTATGAGATCCCCCTCTCAAAAAATCATAACATTGGTTATCTTTACTGCCTACTTGGGGGTCATAAACAGCTGTTGGATATCTCGAATCACTGAGCTGTGGGCTAATTCTTGAATTGCTGCCTTTTACGTTTTAGAGTATTTTATCTTTCCACCAAGACTGAAGTATCCTGAGAAGAGGCACCAAGGTTGCTATCTATATATCTTAGCATAGAATGAAAAAAATGGCCATGGTATAGACATTCTTTAATGGGCATCTGTGGTCTGATCTGAGGATTGAGAGGGAGCACAAATGGACACAGAGTGCTGGACACCAGCCCTAAGCCATCCTCCAGGTTCTCCAGATCCCTGTCCATGAAGTCTGACGTGGCATCTGCTGCAGCTACAAGGAAACAAGCTGATGGTGGCTTCTGACTGGACATGGGGGATTCCTGATCAAGCAGCAAACAGCATGCATGGGAGTGTTGGAGGACTCTTTGTTTTAAGACATTGCTGCTGGTCCTGTCTCTTCATCTGGCTCCTGGACTTGCTTAAATTACCATCTGGCCACCTTAATTCATGGCCAGGAGAATCCTGAGAGGTACGCAGCTGAACACTGTACCCTGCCCCATGCCCCATGACTATACCAGCCTGGATTGGGGTCCCATTTGGGACACTCCTGTGTCTCTTGGTCTTGACTCAATACTTGCTGTCCCTGTGTTGCCTGGGTCTGGTTCTTGATTGGGTCCAAGCCCTAAGTCCTTTGACAAAAGCCATTCCTGGTCTTCAACTGGCTAGTCACAAGCCTTTCTGGTTCCTATCACATAATGGTTTTAACCAATTTCCATGAACAATTGTAGCCATGGCATAGGACATGGAAAGAACCTGAAATCCCACTTAAAAGGAAGCATTGATCTCGACTGGAAGGAGATGCCGGTCTATCTTACATGTCTAAAATATTGTAATAACTTTAATCTGAACTTTGAACCTTGAGTCTCATGGTATTCACAGTATTTGATGCTATGGACTTATTCACTCAAACTTCAAACAACAATCTGATCAGATCACTGAATGGGACCTGGTAAGGCTAGGTGACAAAGTGGTGGCCCAAGAAGGAGGAAATCAATCCAACCAGTGAGGGGCTAAATGATGGCTGCTCCAGGATATTTTATTGCTTATAAGTCCACTGCATCAATCAATATTAAAAAAATGATCTCCCTCTGTGACCACAAACCATGACCACGAAGTCTCAAAATCTGACATATTTGCAGAAGAATTGATAAGTCAAAAGAAAAACAACTTAATACCTCTCCTACAAGAAATAAAGATCATTCCTTGGCTTAAAACAATGACTGTACTCATTTGGAATTCAGATCAATTATTCTGACAATGTAGATTCTCACATTCCTGTAAGAATAGGGAAAATAGGCCTCTCTGAGTTGTTTTGCATTATTAGAATTTGTTTACAGGAGAAGAATCATTAAAGCCTTCTCTGAGGAAAATGAAGTAACAAAAATTTGTCCTGGTTCTGTGGGTAACATTTTGATATTTTATTGAGTTGGTATTGTTCCCCATTAGAGTACCTACAGATGCAAGGCTGCAGAATCATTGCCAGATAACAGTTCAAGGATCCTCTCTGAGCTAATTTTGTATTATTTTATTTCTAATTTTTTAAAATATTTACTTTTGAGAGAGATACAGAGCACGAGCAGGGGAGGGGCAGAAAGTGAGACACACACAGAATCCAAAGCAGGCTCCAGGCTCTGAGCTGTCAGCTCAGAGCCCAACGTGGGGCTCCAACTCATGAACCGTGAGATCACGACCTGAGCCGAAGTTGGACGCTTAGCTGACTGAGCCACCCAGATGCCCCTTCTCTGAGCTAATTTTAAAACAGCATTCCTTTGAATCTTCAAAACCAAGTTCTTCTGAAACTGTAACTGGGGTTAAATTTAGGTCGACATGGATTTCATAAAAGCAAAACCGTTTAAAGTTTACATTAAAGATTCATGTCTCTAACTGGTCTTGGTTGGATGATGATAATAAATATTACAAAACGTTAAGCTCCCTTCCACAGGCTTTCTCACAAGAAAGTTCTGCAGCTTTGTCCCAAACATATTGGAGTATTTCATCTACACCTGGCTATATAAGCAGGATTGAGTGTAATGATGTTTGCCATCAACTTGTGTCATTCTGTCATAAATAATGACAAGTGTGTGTAGCCACACTTCGGGTCAGTTCCTGCTTGTGTCACTTTGTCCCCAACCAGGTTCCAGGGATTCATTCTAGAGTCATAGAGTCCACTGTATTTTATTTTTACTCCTTTGTTCTTTTATGTAACTGTGCTAAAACACTAGATACTGTGTGTTATTTTAGCTCAAAACAACCTCTTTCTCTGTACTATAAAGAAATCGTTTCCCCAGAACTAACTTGCAAATGTCCTTGTAAGTCAGCATAAGCGTGACACAAGTAACATTGCCATTACACATGGGGTTACCCCAGAGAACATTCTGTCCTCTGTTATGTCTACAGAAGATACAGCAGGGCCCCAGTGCTGTGCCTGTACCTACATGGTCAGAGGACCTCACCCTGATACCCACAGGGAGTGTGCCATCCTCTATAAGGTGCAGTGGGAGGAAGGGATGAGGCAGGATAACAAGTAAGTGACAGCACTAACTTTGAAGTCACACACCTTCTTTAGGGTGCATGAAAGATGAGGAAAATCAGTCTTTCTAGAAGATTCATCTCAAGAATGAGGGCATTAACCCTCTGGAAAACAGTGTGGAGGTTCCTTAGGAAACTCACAATCGAACTCCCCTATGACCCAGCAATAGCACTGCTAGGAATTTACCCAAGGGATACAGAAATGCTGATGCATAGGAGCACATGGACCCCAATGTTCATAGCAGCACTCTCCACAATAGCTAAAACACGGAAAGAGCCTAAGTGTCCATCAACAGATGAATGGATCAAGAAGATGTGGTTTATCTATACCATGGAATACTACATGGCAATGAGAAAGAATGAAATCTGGCCATGTGTAGCAACATGGATGGACCTTGAGGGTGTTATGCTGAGCGAAATAAGTCAGGCAGAGAAGGACAAATATCATATGTTTGCACGTATAGGAGGATTAGGAGGAACGTAACTGAGGAACAAGGGGGAGAAGAAGAGGGGAAATGGTGGGGGAAGGGGAGAGAGGCAAACCATGAGAGACTCTTGAATGCTGACAAAAACTGAGGACTGATGGATGTGGGGGGAAGGGGGAATGGGCATGGAGGAGGGCACTTGTGGGGATGAGCACTGAGTGTTGTGTGGAAACTAATTTGACAATAAACTATTTGTAAAAAATTTAAAAAATAAAATAAAAATAAAAAGAATGAGGGCATTAAACGGGTATCATAAGGCTCAACAGAAACAATTGATATAATGCTCTTCACACAGTATGTAGCACATGGTATGTGATTAATAAATGTCTCCAGTGCTCAGGACATGGCTGCTGCTCAGTAGATAGTGGCTGAATAAATGAGTGACTTGATGAACAAACAAATGAATGGGTAGTCAGATAAATACCTGTTTTATGCTACCAATATAGATTCCTCTCTTCTAAACTTAAAGTTCTGCTTAACAAATGGAATAAACTGTGCACGGCGGGATTCAGTAACATTAGATAAAGCAGATTTGCTTTCAGGCTTTCACAGGAGAGTTGGAAAGGAAGGCCAAGCTGGTTCCACATGCCCCCTGCTGGTAGGATTCGCAGGCCAGGGCACAGGCGTCGGGTCTGCAGATGGAGGGCAGGGCGGAGCCCTCCCCAGAGGGTCAGTCATCATTGAGCAGATCCCATTAAAATGAAAATAAGGTCACAGGCCCTGCCTGCACTGCCTCTTCGGGAGAGTGGCAGGTACAGCTATGCGCCTATCCTTCCCTTGTGCACATTCTGAGTCATCCCTGAGTCCTCTTGGTCTGCTTTGCGCATACCAGAGTTACTGGTTTCAAGGCCTAAACTGGTCTCTGTCCCCTTTACACTTCCAGACCTCCTCAGCACCTTGCCCCTCTGATCCTCTCCTCAGGACTCACTCCTCACTCTTTCTGGCATCTAGGTGGGGAAACTGAGGCATGGAATGAGGGATGGCTCCCTGGACTCCACCATCAAAAGCTCCTCAAGGCCTCCTCCCAAGCATATTCCCTCCCCCAACCTCGTCCTCACCCAACTAAGAAAGGGGTTAGCAGGCAGACATCTTCAATGGCCACAAAGCTTGGCTTTCCCAAACAACCTCTGCATGAGAAAAACCGCTCTAAATTGATGGCCCTGGCACTTAATGCTTCTGGAATTTCCAGACTCCTTCTGTGGAAAGCTTCCTTCATCCATTTTACAGTGGTCTTTTTAAGAGGAAGGAAATACTTTTTCACTCACCTTCTTTCTTCCAACTACTGCTCAGCTTTGGGGACATACTTCAGTTCACTTTTAATATTCTGGATCTCCGATAGGTTGACTGCAGGTCCTGGAAGTTTCTTTGCTCCTGGAATTGGCTTCTTCTCCTCATCCAAGGTGGGAGGAGCACCCTGAAGAGAAGAAAGGAAGGAAGGAAGGAAGGAAGGAAGGAAGGAAGGAAGGAAGGAAGGAAGGAAGGAAGGAAGGAAGGAAGAAAGAAAAGAAAGAAAAAGAAAAGAAAGAAAAGAAAGAAAAAAGGAGATCAGCTCACTGAAAAAGGCATTTGGTCTCTCTGTCAAAGGGTACTTCTAGCCACGTTCCTGTGCTGTTGAGACACCATCAGAGTCTCAAGAAGATCTACTGAAGTCTGTGAAGGAATATGGAATAAAGTTGGAGGAAGAAAACAAGTAACTTCTACATGACTTAGAAACACAAGAGTACTATTCAATGTGTGATAACTAACAAAAATTATGACTAGTTAGGATTTGTGTTTCCAAGAAAAGCACCTTACGAAATCAAATTTAATTTGCTATCTATGGTCCTAATATGCCCAAACAACAGAGATTTGTAGAACATTTGTGCATGGTTGGCTCTAACAATGACTTAGTCCAGGAGTTTAACATTGTTTTTTGTTTGGGGCACAGTAGCTGTCAGCCTTTGTGCCAACAACTTCTCCTGGAGGCATAAACAAACTGACACTGACACAAGCAAAACATCCTTTAATGTGGGTGGGACGGAGTGGGGCAAGAGGAGGCCCACTTTTCCCTTCCTGCTCTGGGAACTATTTTAAATTCCTTATTATTTAATGTTTTTATATTGTTGCAGCGTTAGGGCAAGGCCACATTCTGTACTTTTCTTTGTGGCTCCTGCAGCCTGGTACAGGTGCACACACTTGCTGATTTTTATTTAGTTTGTTAATCCCAAGAATGTACCATCATGACAAATCTATGCCTCTGTGTACATACACCAAACATATGTATTAACAGTGACTAAAACAATAAGATCAGTTGCTCTGTGTGGCTCCTAGAACTCCCAAGTCATTACTGCAGAAGTTGCTTGCTAGCTCATTTCCCCTGCGCTAGACGTGGGGAGCATATTCTCCAGCCCTGGAAGGAAGATGTTAGAGGAACATTTGATCACCGTGGCAGCCATGAGGGCACGCCTGTCGGATCAGCTTTCTGCCAGGAGGGTAATTCAATGACAGCTCCAGCTGCCTCACCCTGCAACCCGCCCCCCACACCACGCTGAGGTCACACTTCCCACGGCTGCTCGTGGCCAATGACCGAGTGCCACAGGATCCTAACGCTGGCCCATTCCTGGGAGACAAGAGACTCTTAGGGAGGAACTTCGGCTCGAGAATTTTCCTTAGAACAGCAGTGAGATCTAAGAGGTTTCACTCCAACCCTCTGTCCCACTCTTATTCGCTCACATCATGGTCTAACCATCTTCCCATTTTTCCTTACAAGTGGTTTCCCCAAGAAATATTTTGCATGTCTCAGCCCACCATTGTGTCTGCTCCTTGGAGGACCCACAGTTACACGGTTGCAGTGTGGGACTGGCAGGGCTTCATCTGCTCAGCCAACAACTGAGTGAACAATACAGTTCCAGGGAAAAACAGTAAGAAAATGCATGTTTGCCTCTGGTTCAGGTCCTAAGCCCCTACTTGTTGCCAACCTAACCTGGCAGTGCTGTGACTTGGGTATTAAAGCTAATGCTGTTCTTTGCCCCCATCCAGCTCCTACATCTAGTTCTCAAATTGTCTGGAACCTAAAGGGAAAGGGAAGTGACTGTTCAAGATTCCCAACCTCAAACCAATTATTTGGTAGGCATAGCCTTTATAGAATTGCCTATATGAAGGTTAAGTACAAATATAAAACACTGTACATCTACTGTTCTCCTACGAAGGGCTAATGGTTTTTCCTATAGTCATTTTCTTTGAATCTTGGCACAGTACTGATGAAACAGCTAACGTATCACCCCCACAAAATGATAAAATAATTCAGTGTAGACTGCCTGTTGTAAATATCTGGAAAATAGTGTTTCCTCAGGCCAATGTACACAGCCATAGGATCAGCTTCCTTTTGTCATGCGTACACATTCACCATTTATAAATGGCAATTTAGAAGCAATAACTATTAAACATCCACGTGGAGGACCAGGTATTCCAAAGTGTTCTTCCCTAGACTTTTGGAAAGAGATTTTAAACAAGGCTATAAATTGTTTTTTTAATATATGCAGCAGTGAAATGAAAAATGTTTCCTCACTTATGAATGTTCCGATGGTTGTTAGGTGGGTAGATCTTAATAAAGAAGCATGAAGAAGAAAAATGTTTCTAGTTCCTTCTGTTAAGTTCCTGGATACGTCACCTTCACTGTGTTTGTAATATCAAAATGTGCTATGTTGGCACATTTAGCATGTAAAGCCAATGTGTATTGTTATGTCTATGTGCAAAGACTTATGTGAACATACATGGGAAAAGGATGATAATATTTAATATTAGGCACTTTCAAGTTATTAAACCTCAGTGCACTGTTTTGTTTTTTTTTTAATTAAGGTAAGACTTTTCAGCACTTGATTTGGTATGGTCACATATGATAGAAATTATAAGTGGATATATTCAATAAGTAGACATGATATTGACTCAGGAAGGGGTTAATGGTGGTGCATATTCTTAACTGAATCTTCTCTCATCTTTTAAAAAATTGAGAATTAGATTCCATTTCTCCTAGAAATTTATTATAAGAATTATAATAAATAAAGACATAAACAAGCAGGGTTCCGGATGGCTCCATCTGGCTAATATGTGGTACTTTTTTTCTTCTGTTTGTAGATATTTGAACTGAGAAGGGACATGGAAGATATTCTTTGACTGAGATAAAGAGAGCTTTAGAGAAGTCTTGTCACCCCCAGCACCTTTACCAGTGTCAGGAATGGCTGTTGTCAAGGGAAATGTTCCCCTGGTGGGGGATTACAGAGTATTTGTAAACTTTGGCAAAATGGTGAACCATTTTCCAGCTATCTTGCCTTCATCTCCCTCTTTACTACCTGACACTCTTTTAAGTTTGCCCCTAACCTCACCTTTGTGGGGCAATTCCGTCTGATGTGCTGATTCATGCTCAGACACTGAGGACTTAGTAATAACAGCAAACACTTACACTGCTGTTCTTAGTTACATATGCTAACTCATTTAATCTTCACATCAACCCTGTAAATTTACTATAATTATTATCCCTGTTTTATAGTGAGGAAACTGAGGCCAAACATAAGGAGGGAAGGAATAATAAAATTGCCCATAATCTCACAAAAGTATGGGACCGGAATTAAGTACTTTGTTTGCATTTGTAAAGGGACAAAGTGGAGAGGGAAATAATTAACAGAAAATCCTAACATTCTATTTTCTGCCTTAATAATGATGGAATTAGAGTCAAAAGAGAGATTTGGGAAGCAGAGTAGAGGCTTGTCAATGCCCTTCAAATTGCTTGGCCCTTCAAATTGCTTCAAGCAAGCAGCTGCCTTGTCTTATCCAAAAGACTGGCCTTGCTTATTAGGATTTGGCTGCAAGGCCTCTGTGGCGGGCACATGCCAAACTCTGGCTGGGCTGAGCAGACAGAGGGTGTGCTCCAGCTCTGTGAGCAAAGCAAAGGACTCCCAGAGACCATAGGTGGGCTGGAGACCCAGCCAGTGCTCACAGGCCTTGTCAGAGGGCCAAAAGCTGGTCCTGGCTTCCTACTGGGGTACAACCTCTCCATGTATGAGATGGGAGAGCTACTGGCTGTGATGGAGGTGACCTGTTGTGCTCAGGGATGGTATGTTATGATCTCCATTTTATATAGTGCTTACCTTAATTCAAGGCTGGGCAATAAAACTAGGTAAGTAAGCAATTCCAGTTTTTCAAATTAGATATTTTTTTTTAAAATGTGGTTGTATGAGTTTGTTTGCTTGTTTATAGAAAGAGCGCACATGTGCATGCACAGGGCAGAGTTAGAGAATCCCAAGCAGGCTCCACTCAGGACTCCATCCCACAAATCATGAGATCATGACCTGAGCGGGACACTCAACTGATTGAGCCACCCAGGTGCCCCTGTATAGGTTATTTTTAATTCAGATTCCATTTTCACCTTCAACCTATGTGACAAAAGGTGGCAAACCCACAAAATCCTACTTAACTCAACTTGTAGCCAAGCCAAGCTGCCTAACTGCTCCCCTTGCAATGTTGTTTCTATGAGAAACTTCAAGGTCCAGCCCAGGCCTTGAGTCATTAGATCCTCCCCCTACCTAAGACCCCTGAGAGCTCATTTCTGCTCATATAATAATGGAATACCATCCTCAGCTCCACCCTCCTAGCCCATGAGCCCCATGAGAAAGGTATAAGCTCAATTTCAGAGACACTCCTGGGGTCTCTGGATCTCTGTGGATACCTCCCTCCATCCTGTAAAGAATATTGATTAGCCATTTGTACATGTGGCTGGTCATAAAGTAAGTGTTCACAAACAGGCTGTATCAGTTCTTGTCTATTTTAGAATGTGCTGGAACCATCAGACTGGAGACAAGAGTGAGAGCAAAATGTTCTTCCAACCCCCTAACTGGGACACTTGTGAGGAGGAAAGTACCAGTTGTACAGAGAACTGAAGGTCATCTGTATACCACAAGGGAAGATGAGATGCAAACCTCCAAAACCATTGTTACAGCCATTGGTTTAGTGAGAAAAAAGGTCAAGCCACCTTCTGACTGAATGCCATGGTAGTGACAGACATGGCTTAAGGAAACACAGGAAGAAAACCTAAATGCAGGTGTGGAAAGAGTTCCGCTGCCCTCTCTTCAACCTCTCCATGCCTTTTTATTACAATATGCAAAATAATAGGCCAAAGAGTTGTTCATGAAAATTGGATAATTAGATCAATTGATGAACAATCATTTATTGAATGGTTGGTAGGCTGTGCTGTGTCCGTTATATCACTGACTCCTCTCAGCAACCCTCTGAGGAAGAGTGGGTCATATTTGGCAGACATAGGCTCAGAAATACTTAACCAAAGTCCCAGAGGGAGAGCCAATGATTATGAGTTAACTGGATAGCCCAGTCAGTAGCATCAGAGTTTGAGATTATGTACCATAAGAACAGGGTAGTGCTGGGCCTTTTCAACTTGGATGTCCAAAATTTTTATTCATCAAAGTGACCTAGTGACTGAAATTCCAGAACTTGGTGATATTACTCAAATACTTCCATCTCCTTCTTTGAAAACTTATCTTTCTATTGATAGGAGGCTGGAACTACTAACTTGGGACCATACCAGGAATTATTTATGGGGGGAAAAAGGTTAGATGAGGGACAACTAAAGTTTTTTTAGGAAACTTTGAAATGGTGATAGGTGTTCTTTGGGGGCAAATACCAAAAAGGTCACCTACAAAAGTTAAAAAAAAAAAAAAGTCTTTTTAAAAAGATAAAATACAGTTGGTTACGCCCTGTGGCTTCGTTGAATTCGACTTTCCTTGTCTTGTGCTAATGACAAGCCCCAAAACCTGCATTTTTTTTTTCAGAACTAGACTGTCCAAGTTTCATCAGAAAAGTCACAGCTGGGGAAGAAATATAGACCTTGGGGAGGGCACCCTTCTCTATTTAATGCACTTACTGTGAATTTTAGCATTCATTTCAGCCAAGTGGGCATCTGAATTTAGAGGAAAGGTAAAGAATTAGAGGGAGGAAAAAAAAGACAGAAATTGATAGACTCCCTTGCAAAGTCCTCTTTTCAAAAGAAATACCCAGAAATTGGGGCTTTTTGTTTGAATCCACAAGTAATTTAATGTGCTTATTACCTACGCTCCCACTGGGGTTTGTCACTCATCAGAAGCTATACTAAATACATCCTGCTTGGTTCAAAATAAGCTCCAGGTGAAACCTTACCAAGCTAGTGACTCTTGCCAGACCAAGAGCATGTGAGAGGCTATGCTCCCCCCCACACACACACACTCAACAAACTAGATGTTAAACTCAGCATCTTCAAGTAACTGTGCCAGGCCATTAAAGGGCTGAAGAGAAGTAAGGAGCAGTGTGTTTCATGGCTAAGTAAGCAAGAAAGTCAAAGAAATGCATATACTTTGTAATGACTCCCTGACCCAAATCCATTCATGCCTCCCTTGTCCTGGAGAGCTGACCATCACCTTGCCTTTGCCCCACTCTAGTCAGGAGTCTGCAGGAGAAAGACAGGGCTGAGCTCTGCCACTAAGCTTTCCTCACCTCCTCCATTTCCGGAGTACACTCTTTTCTTCTGGGGGGTTGCCCAGCTCCTGGCCGAAAGGCTCCCATGGGGATGTTGATATTTGCCTAAAAGAAAAGAGCAGGGAAGATTTAGCTCAAAAATAGTAGGAACTTGGAATGACACTCAGAGACTGTAATCACTGTGATGAAAAACACATCTGAAAAGTACATCTTTAAAGCTTTTTACCTCAAGAAAATTGCCATAATGACAGTACAAAAATATTCAAATGGAAATTTGACTTCCATTTATTACAGATTTCTGGTACTCCTCTTTAGGTCTGTGCAGTGATTTCACGATTCCCCATTGGATAGAAGAATTTCAAGACAGTTTGTTCTGGCTGTTGCCCTTCTGTGGCACTTGATATTTTCCTCTTCCTCAGATGAGGAAGGAACACATAATGATAAGAAAGGAGGAAACAGCATCCACAGAAGCCATCCGACACCTTAGTCCCTCCTTCAGGTTCCTTCAGATTTACCATACGAGGGGCATGCTCACACCTCCTAAACCCCTTCCTCCTTTCTGTAATGTCCTATGACTGTTCCAGCACCTCCTGTGGTCTCTGTAATTTACTCTCCTCCACCTTCTCCCCAGCACAGCACTGTGTTGGTCAGTGCATAAGATGAGTGTGGAAAGCCAAGTTCATTGGTATCATACTTCATAGATTCTTGTCCTTCATTAAGATAACATGCTAATCTCCATCCCCAGTAAACATAAAACATCTAGTAAACATGAAACGGGCCAAATGTTAAATTATGTGAGGAATATATACTGACAGAGCAATTTGAATCTGGGGAAAATAATTTGTAAATTTGTATTTTATCCATATTTAATCTGATATCAAAAGGCAAGAATGTTTAATGCAGACCAACCAGAAGCATCACTCACATAAAACAAGCATTAAAACTTCTTTTTTAAGGTAGAACCTAACTTTTTCCACTTATGATAAAATGTTGCCTTATGAGTAATTGGATATATGGACTTGAAAAGTTGAAACTGCACTTTGATATTATGCATAAAAACGATGCCTGAGCAAAGGGAACACAATATTTGACTATGTGTGATACAGTTTGGACAATTTGGGTACCACACCCAACAAAATTACTAGGAAGTGTGGTAAGGTCCTTTTGGAAATGCCTGATAGAAACTCTGTTTCTAGGGAAATGTTTAACTCAAGACACAGGAAATATCCAGTATCCATGTTCAGAAAACATGGTAGATCTGTGTTCTCCCAAGAGAAGGAAGTGACATTTTCCCTCTAGGGTCTTTAAAACTTCCTTTTGTACTAGAATATACAATACTGATCCCACAGAAAGGAAACAGATCCAAAGGTTTGTGGTGGGTATCAAGGAGGTAAATCACCATTGCTAGGGCCACCAAGCCAAGAAGTATTTTTGATCAGTGTATACTATATATGCCAAAATATAAGTGCAGCACAATCTTAGAGGAAGTCATTTTGGAAAGCCTAAGGCTGAACTTTCTATGCTATTCTGTTTATTGGAAATACCAGTGTCCTAGAGTGGGAGGAGGTGCGACATATAATAAGGGGGAAATATGTCTTATACTGTGGCAAATATGGTAGCATACTTCGTGAATTCCAAGATGCACCTCTTTTAATATCTCCATAATCAAAATGTATCTTACCACCAATGGTTTCTTAAATATTTAATTGGCATGTTTGTTTCCTTTTTTAGCAGAACATGAATTAATAGTATTTTACAGTTGACAGTGTCTTAGATTGAATGAAATATCATTAGGGTCCTGAAATAAGATCAAAACAATGTAAGACCTGCAGAAGTTTATTCATATTGAGCCAATAACTATCTCCATTTCTGCAGTTTGATTTTAAAAAGGGAAAAGTCAGTATAGGGACTTTTGGGGAAAAGGTTAACCAGTTAAAAGTTTAATTATATCATCACTACCCTAACCCATTTATTGAGTATCTACAGAGGGTGTCTTCCTAATGGTGAGTTGAAGTTAACATACGGTTTCTGAAAGACCTGATTGCTGAACTAACCTATTTAATGAAGTGTGTATGCTCTATAGTAGGTTGTAGTTTACGGTAAAGGAACACATAAAGGTCTTCCAGGATAATGTATTCGGTAAAGCACATGCTATTGGAAATCACCTTTTCCTGCTCAGAGTTTAATTTTAGCAATGCATGTAGCCTCTCCATGGTAAACAGGTGGCTTATGCTAGTGAAAAAAGCCCACTGCTAGGAGTTGTTACAGATTCTCTGTACTTGAAAAAGTGACAACTGTTCTGGGCCTCATTTTTCCCATTTGTAGTATGAACTTTAAGCTTCGTCAGTGGTTTTCAAACCTTTTAGCTATGGAACCCTTCCTTCAAGTAAAGTACTGTGAGAACATCTAAAATGCAAACTAGGTGGAGGTAGAGCTGCTCTGGCTAAGGTAGCAGGGAGCCCAGAACCCATCTGCCTCCCCTAAGCGCTGGGCCATGACAGGTTCTTTCAAATGTGGGGGACCATATCTGACAACCCTTGATAGAGATCATCCCTAAGTGGATGAGCATTGACATGTATTTCAAATGTTTGTTCTTCTCATTGTTAAGTCATCTGTCATTTACTTTAAACTAGCATAAGACCATGTCATATTTTATATGTTCAGGTTCGTTTAAACTGAAGCTCTAGAGAATTCTGTTGCTCTACGTGAGAGTTCATCCTCGTAGGGTGGTGGTTGGATGGTAAAATATCACTAAGACCATGTTCCCACAATTGCTACCCCACGTCCTTCTGTTAGTCATATGTCCAACCAACACCTGAGGTTTTGATGTTTGAAAAAATGTCAGAAATAAGCGGAATAACGGCATGAGCTTTAGAAATGGCTCTTACTGGGGCGCCTGGGTGGCTTAGTCGGTTAAGTGTCCAACTTTCGCTTAGGTCATGATCTCGCAGTTCGTGGGTTCGAGCCCCGCGTCGGGCTCTGTGCTGACTGCCAGCTCAGAGCCTGGAGCCCGTTTCAGTCTGTGACTCCCTCTCTCTCTGACCCTCCCCTGCTCACGCTGTCTCTCTCTCTCTCCTAGAAATAAATAAAACATTTAAAAAGAAAAAAAAAAAAAGAAATGGCTCTTACTGACAAAATTAGAAGAGGTTAGGGTATGTAGATTGATTAAAATATTTTAGAGACAATCCCCGACCTGCTGAACAGAGTGTAAGAATCTGATAGCCTGTAGATTGCATCTGCAGAAACAGAGCTCAAGGAGTGATCCCTAAATGGGCCTGTCTCCAGCCATTGATAATGAGGATTTCCAGCTGGCTGCTGCCAACTAGAGGCACCAGAATCCCCATGTGCCTCACGTGAGCCTTTGATGTGAGGTGACAGTCACCTGGAGCACGTAAAGCGACAAGAGCTGAGTCTTCGTGGAGCTCACAGACAGTCTGCCTAAACGGTTTCTTGCCTGCTTGCTAACAAATTTATGTTTAACAAATGCCCATACCTGTGACAAAATTGAGGGTGAGACTGGCATTCATCTTAACTTGGTGTGAGGTTGGGGACAGTAACCCCTCCCCAAGCCATTCACCACACACTATTTTAGCCACCTGCAAGCCCTGGTCTGTCCCTAAGGTGAGGCGGCTCTGATTTGCAATCCTGACTTTTCCTCGGACTGTTTGTGTGACCCTGAGCAACAAACTTCTGAGGTTCAGACTATCACCTTTGTTTCACTGATGAAGAAACTGATCCTCAAAGAAGTTAGAGGAATTGCTCAAAGTCACACAAACAGTCCGAGGAAAAGCCAGGATTACAAATCAGAGCCACCTCACCTTAGGGACAGACTGTTTCACTCTATCAAGCCCTATCTAAAGAGCTCTTTTTACTTGGCCAGAGTGATCTCTAACCACTCTAAAATTCTCTAAACTGGCACAAAAATTGCAGGCTTCCACTTTGAAAATGGCCATGGGAAAGGGGCGTGCAAAATGGATAATTCCAAAATAGGTGTCAAAGAAAGGCCACATTGAAAAATGAGCCATTAACTCGCTGACTTGATGCTTTTTCATCTTTAAGGCATCAGTCAAAAAACCAGGAATGTAAATGGGTTTTTTGACAGCAGATATTGACAGCATCCAAAGCAGCCCAAGAACGCATCAAATATCCAGTTATGAACGTACACCTGAAGGGAGTGTCAGAAAAGTGCTTTGTAAATGATTAGAGATGTTTCATTAATGTAATTGTAGGGTGGTGATATTTGAGTGACAAATTACACACTAAATTATAGCCATAAGAAATATTTCTTGTAACTTGAATTCGATAGAAATATGTAGACCTTAGCTCTCTTTTTCATTTCATCAGCCAGAGAATTGTGTCATATTCTTGCTTTTCACTGACTTATTCTGTTTTAACACAAATAATACGTTCTCACTGTTTAATTTTTCCATCTGGAAATTGGGTATGGTATTTGTTATTCAAAATGAATTTCTAATATGAGCTACATTTTTGTGAAAGCAAATGGAGTCAGTCCAGGCCATTGATGTTAGACTTTCTGTATGTTGAGTTGACTCCATATTATTGATTTTATTAGACCTTATGTTGGTTTATTCTATAAGGGTTGGACTTCATTCTCTATATAGATTCTGTATAAATGCAAAGGAAGCAGGCTTTTGTTTTTTCCTTTTGTAATACATTCTCTTGCATTTCTTTTCCCTCCTTGACTTTATTCATCCTAGACATTTTTAAATATGCCCCAGATACAGCAACCCTAGAGCATTGCTTTCCCAGCCTATACATAATTTGTTACATCCTTGAAGTTGGGAATGGAAAAAATCTACTAGATCATCTCTTGCCAGAACAGGATACAGTTCCCTGATAATAGACCTATCTGATGTGAAATAAATACTACACTTGATCTCACTAGGTGAAGAAAAGTAGAAAGAATTCCCTGTAAGTTAATTCCACCACTCCCTTAATTATTTGTATTGTTCTCCTGCTTGGCTCCAGGCTTTGAGCCTGAGGATTCTGGAAACAGTAGTCCCTCCACAGCCACTCATATGTGGCATACAATGGAGTGACATCTTCTTTCCGCTGTGGGTTGGATTCTGATAGCTGCCTGCCAC